ATACCAAAGAGTTTTACTTACTCCCTGGCATCCTCAAAATTGACTGCAACCTCACAAACAGAAATCACAAATTGGTTGGTCGGTTCGACGTGGGTGTTTTGTTTAATCATTCAATAGACCGCTGTGTGAGTCGGTGGTTCAAGCCATAGGCTGAACGATCGATTTCCACTTACTATCGTCCAACTCGTGTTAGAAATCACACGTTGAAAGGTAAGAATACGTTAGCCCTTAGCTCGCACAAGTTTCGACTTCTGAGAGTTGTCGTTCATAGGGGTGCGACAGCTGATTAACGAAAAAAAAATTTCAAGCATATATTTGATCATTTATATATGATGGTCAGAACCATACTGATAATTTTTAGTTTTTTCAACTACATTTCAACTGAATGTATTAGCCGTGAAAAAATAACAGAACTGTGTTTCATAAATAATTATAATAGGCTCGACGAAATCGTCGATTCTCAACAAAGATCAAAAAACTCATTTCAAATAGATATCGCATCTTTCACGAAAGTTTTGTCATCTCAACCCAGTATTGGCCCTTCCAACAGTTTCACAATTCATCATAAACATCCCAAAGTGTATCGCACACCTTCTTTGCTGAGCGTACTCAAAATCACAATTAACTGACTTTTTTGATCTTGTCAGAAAAGTAATTTGTACGATTTTTCCTGATTTTATTTCATTTTATAAAAGTTCATCTAATTCTCGATTTGAGCGGGGTGAGTGGCGAGGGGTCACTGTCTCTCTCTTATGGGTGTTTGACAGTCCTCCGGTGCAGACCACACGGCACTCACCCAGTAAAGTTATCGGTCAACTACCCTATCCTAATTCACCTAACAATTCAATAGAGTCCACTCAACATTAATTGTTATACTAACTATAATCCATAATGTCACATTGTAAACACGAAACTGATAGTTCTGTCAAACAACTCATCATGTTCCATGACTTCCACAGCAGAGTACGTAATCTTTGTGAACTGTCAGTTTCATGCATCAATGAAAAACATTGGGCAGTTATAATTAGATACTGGTCACACATCTATGTGATCACGTTTATTCGTGACTAACTTAAAACAAATATCCTCAATTTAATCATGCTATTGCACAATTAAGATTTCAATCTACGATTGAATGTAGATTGAATTATGAATAAAATCTACATTTTTACTGTTTGTTCTGCATAAGATGACCGACAAGTTTTGATTGTTACGAAGGAAGTAGCTTCTCTCAAACTCACGATAGCAAGTATTCTCATCCAATCTATGAAATTGTAGCGGTGTTGTTAATTTGTTTACAATTGTTTAGTAAGTCCTGAAGAAGGAAATAAACATTTCCGAAAGCTTGGCATAATACCAAAGAGTTTTACTTACTCCCTGGCATCCTCAAAATTGACTGCAACCTCACAAACAGAAATCACAAATTGGTTGGTCGGTTCGACGTGGGTGTTTTGTTTAATCATTCAATAGACCGCTGTGTGAGTCGGTGGTTCAAGCCGTAGGCTGAACGATCAATTTCCACTTGCTATCGTTCAACTCGTGTTAGAAATCACACGTTGAAAGGTAAGAATACGTTAGCCCTTAGCTCGCACAAGTTTCGACTTCTGAGGGTTGTCGTTCATAGGAGTGCGACAGCTGATTAACGAAAAGAAAAATTCAAGCATATATTTGATCATTCATATATGATGGTCAGAACCATACTGATAATTTTTCAACTACATTTCAACTGAATGTATTAGCCGTGAAAAAATAACAGAACTGTGTTTCATGAATAATGATAATGGGCTAGACGAAACCGTTGATTTTCAACAAAAATCAAAAAACTCATTTCAAATAGATATCGCATCTTTCACGAAAGTTTCGTCATCCCAACCCAGTATTGGCCCTTCTAACAGTTTCACAATTCATCATAAACATCCCAAAGTGTATCGCACACCTTCTTTGCTGAGCGTACTCAAAATCACAATTAACTGACTTTTTTGGTCTTGTCAAAAAAGTAATTTGTACGATTTTTCCTGATTTCATTTCATTTTATAAAAGTTCATCTAACTCTCGATTTGAGCTGGAGAGTATGAAATAAAACATTCCTATACATGACGTGTTTGCAACGGGAGTGGAAGCATCGCAACAACAAAAATTGACTTTTTTCGTGACAACACCTAATGGATTGAACTGAATAGATCTGAGGACATCTTTAGAAAAAATAATGACCACAAAAAATATATGAGATATATAACTTGCAGCAGGTGTATTGTTTTTGTGAAAATTCTTTAATTTATATCCGTCCAAGAGTGGCACCCTCATGGTATTTTCCAAAACCTAGAACATCAAAATAGTTCATGCCTTATTAAGTTTCGAATCATCTATTGAAAAATATATTAAACCGAAAATACGAAAATTGAATGAAACGATTAATAATAAAAACAGTGACTTGCTGAAATATTTGAAGGTGTTCCAGCCTTGACAAATTGCAAATTATTTTCGAATTTTTTGAGATATCTAGAAGACAAAATAGTGATGACTTGGATTTTTTGTCCATTTGCCTCTTCTACGCTCTCCAACAGATATGTTCAGTCAATACGGACATTTGAAAAATTAACTTAGAGACTTTTTCGTCATCAGATAGTAATATATTCGGATTGTTGGAATGAATCACAGTATTACAGGAAAATTGACAGTGAACGGGGTCTAGTACATTTGAGAACTGATAATCATATAAGAAGTTAAAAAAATTTAGCTCGTAGATAGATAGATAGTTTATTTGACTACGTATATGTAATAAACATTTGTAGCAAGTCAGGTAATAAGTCAAACATTTAAAATTGAATAATACGAAAATAAAATGAACAACATCAACACTACAGTATAACGAAAACACAAAGCACCCAAAAGGGGGATCATAATTTTTTTTAAATACACAAGCAGCATTTCTTGGAAGATTTCTGTAGATTGAATTTAGCAGGTCGTATAAGATTAGCACCACGTGTTTCATACTTACGAAAGTGGGAGTTAGTTAAAAGAGTCCCCTTAATTTTATGTACCTCCAGCAGTGACTGAAAAATCGATGGAAGAGTCATGATTCCCAATTTTTTTAACAATGGACGACATGTGTCCCGATATTCCGCATTAGAAATTATCCTTATTGCCTTTTTTTGTGTTACAAATATATTTCCAGCAGAAGTAGAATTACCCCAAAGAAGTGTCCCGTAGCTAAGTGAATGGAAAATGGCATAGTAGACAGCAAGAAAAGTGTCAATAGAAACAAAATCTCTCTATTGCCTCAACAAAAACAGATATTTGGATAATTTCGTATTTAATTCATCAATATGACATGTCCAATTTAGGAAGTCATCCAAAGTTATACCAAGTAATTGGGCTGTTTTACCTTCCAAAAGCATGTTATTGGAAGAAAATATCAGTCTCATTTTTCAGCTTGGCTTTCAGCAAGTTTTGTCTTTCGCAATTTTTGTCTGAGCAGACAGAAGATGTGTCATCGGTATAAACAACACATTTATGGGGCAGAACTTGGAGGAAAAGGTCATTTATGAATATTATAAATAGGAGAGGTTCCAGGACAGATCCTTGTGGAACACCGTTTACTATAGGCTCTAAATTAGACGTTCTATTGTGTTCTATGTCGATATATTGCTTTCGATTTTGTAAATGCGATGTGAGAAGAGAGAGAGACACACCTCTAACCCCATACTCATTCATTTAATGAAGTAGTAAGTGGTGAGACACAGTTGAATGCCTTACTCAAGTCACACAGAGTTACAGTGCTATGCTGACCATTCTCAAAGCCGTCGACAATGTTTTTCACTACACAAACAACTGCTTGTACAGTAGAGCACGACTTACGGAAACCATACTGATCAGGATTCAAGGGATTGTTATTTTCAGAATAGAAATATAATCTGTTTTTGATTAACATTTCAAAAAGTTCATCAAATATCGGTACAATAGAGATGAGTCGATGATTTTCAACGATATTCTGGTCACCTTTTTTAAAACTGGAATGACCTTAATGATTTTTGATTTATCTGGAAATGCTCCTTCACTTATGCAAGCATTGCACAAATAGGTAAGTGGTTCTACAATTAGATGGCAAATTGCCTTAATTATTTTGCTGTTGGGATTATAGATATCGACTCAATTAGTTTTTCAATTCATGAATAGCTTTATAGACTTCCGAATTGGTAACAGGTGTAAACATAAGCGAACCTGATTAACGGGGTTCCAAATGTTTCAATGTATTGTCAAACGATATTAACTGCGGTGATAGTATCACCAATTGTAGTGAAGTATATATTAAACTCACTGGGAGTTATTTTGTCTGTAATTATGTGCCAATTATGTTTGGATTTCTCATAATTGATTATCTTCCAGCTGTCCCTAAGTTTGTTCTCAGAGCCTTGGATAAAGTTATCATAAGCGTCTCTTTTGACTACACTGACAGCTTTACGATATTCATTGTGGGCATATTTAAAGGTTTGTTTGTAAATGAGATCCTTAGTTCCATCAGTTGTACCTTGAGGTACATGCTATTCAAATTCAAGCAAATAAGAACTTTTTTAGATCCAGAACAGCTGCGAACAGTATATTACGCTTTAGTTGAATCGCGAATTCACTATGCTATTCTCAGTTGGGGTGGTATTTTACCATCACACTTGAGAAAATTAGACATTCTTCATAAAAGAANACAAAATATATTTAACGAATGACAAATTGACATTTGTGTTATTGCTATCACAAATATCTATATATTTTTTTACATATGATCGGTCATGATGAACAAGAGCCAAAAATATAACTCTAATTTAATAATTTCGCAAAGAATAGATAAAATTCAACCAACTTTTTTATTATTACCTGATCTTAACGTTAATTTTGAAGATGACTCAATATATTTTTTCCTCGCTCCCGTAAATACCGAACAGAACAGATCTGCATTATGGAATATGGAACGCTTGCCGAGCGATGCGAGTTAATCGTGTGCACAGTTATGTATCAAACGAACATACTTACAATCAAGTCAGTAAATTTACGTTAGGTTATGTTTGATATAGTAATAATATGTAAACAATATTCTGTTTATGTTAGATATTAGACCATTAGAAAGAAAAAGTAATTAACTATACTGTACGTTTTGTGAATGTGTATATGTGAATTATATGGTCGCAAAAAATATTCTTAAACTGTTGACTTGAAAAATGTCATCTCCAGTAGCTTCTCCCTCAGTGGTAAAGAAGCACAAAAAACACAAAAGTGAAAAACGCGAAAGAGATGAAAAACCCGGCCTGAAACTTATTCTGAAAGTGGGTTCTCAAACTACACCTGAACATGACTCTACTTTTGATCAAAGTTTACCCTTACCAACTGAAGGTTTAGAAGAGACAATGCAAATTGAGAAAAATGATCAATATTTTGCTACGACCAGGACTCATCATAAGAAATCTAAAAAAAAGAAGAAAAAGAAGGACAAAAATAAAGATCGTGAGAAAAAACACAAGCATCATCACAAAGATAAAAAACGAAAGAGAGAGGATAATGAAGAAGCAGGTAGTGAAATATTTCCCAAGTTGAATGGGTTACCATAAATATATTTCGTTTTTAGAGGAAATGGGAGTTTATCCCCAGATAGGCAGTCCTCAATACAAATTATGGTCCTTCTACTGACATCTGTAACTGCATTTTTAATAAATCGGGGATTTATATTTGCACAGCACTTGCGAATGGTATTTTCCAGATGTTGTATGTCAGTAAATGGTCTACTTAGGTACACTTTTTGTTTCAGGTAACCCCACAAGAAAAAGTCTACTGATCACCACATTCAATTGTGAAATTGGGATTTTCTTGGGCCCACCATCGGCAATATTGAGAACTTACCGTTCCATTTGAAGACAACGTTGCCTCATCTGTCCATAAAATTTTATACGGAAACTTTACATTTTTTTCTCTCTCTCCTTGAAACCAGAATGAAAACCCCAAATGGATACCGTTCCATTTGAAGAGAACGTTGCCTCATCTGTCCATAAAATTTTATACGGAAACTTTACATTTTTTTCTCTCTCTCCTTGAAACCAGAATGAAAACCCCAAATGGATATAAAAATCTCGTTCTTTTAATGTGTTAATAAATTTTGGCTTGTAAGGCCAAAATTTATTCTTTACACTTTCTCTCTTGTTATCGGTATTTTTTATAATATCGATTATGCTCGTTTGCCCGTGTTTAATAACTAATAACTAATAACTAATAACTAATAACTAATAACTAATAACTAATATAGTAATACATGCAGATCTATAGATTGTAATAATTGCAATTTGAGGTCGGATAAGTTCAATGCCGCATACCTCAATATCGCGCTCAATGCCAAACAACACGAACAAATATGGCCACCCCACCGTTATGATGCCTTGATCTACAAAAAAATGCTGCCAGATTATAACCAGGAATATTGCAAATAGTGCAAAGTTGCAAGCAACCTTGATCAAGCCAATGTTCAGAAAAAACACAGAACATTAAAAAAATCACTTTCTTCCATGTATAGAGAAAG